AAAGAAAAGCAATCAACTGAAAAACACCTGATTAGTGCATGGCTAGAGAGCACATTGTAAATTTATTTATTCACTTCATATTTTTGAGTGCCTTCTAAGTGGCAGGCATGTGTATGGTGAGTAATATATAATTAATACATATACCAAAATCATTTGGCTGAATTTTAAACTTTCAAACCTATTTCAACTAAAGTATCTTTTCTCACCATGCCCTCAACCCTCAAATTTTTTGTGGAATTAATATGAATATGCAAAATAAATAAAATATCTTTACGTTTCATTCTAACCCAGATTGCGTTTCAAACATGTAAATAGACCTTGTGGGCAGGAACGAGGAAGAGAAGGCGGTTTGGGAAATTGCAAGGAGATTTTCACTGGAAATTCTACCTCCTCTTTCATGAGGGCATCCCACGTGGAGGCTCTCCTCCCAGGATCTGGTCTTGAGCTGCCTTGTGACTGGAAAAGTGCTTCTGTCTTCCGTTGGCACCATTTAGGATGCAGTGGTACCTTCCACCTTGTGGACTGTTTTTACACCTCCTCTTCTTACCCGCCTCGTAACAGCAACACCCCAGGAGGTGTACCAGGAACTTCTCCACCTGGTTCAAGTCCAGGCTTTCCATCGATGAGACCCGGCATATTTGGCATCTGGAAATATCACTAGTGTTTTCTGTATTCTTCCACACACTCTTTGCACATCCTCATTTAAGAAGAAATGTATGGACTGTGGACTCCACCAGGCTCGCACTTTAATGCACAGCTTTCTTTTTGGCCTCGAGAGTATGCATTTCCCCAGTGTTTATTATTATTATTTTTAAAGATATTTTCATTGATTTCAAAGAGAAAGGGAGAGAGGGGGAGAGAGAGAGAGAGAGAGAGAGAGAGAGAGAGAGAGAGAGAGAGATAGGAACATCAATGAGAGAGAAACATTATCGATTGGCTGCCTCCTGCATGCTGCGTGCTCCACGCTGGGGATCAAGACCACAGCTCCAGGCATGTGCCCTGACCAGAAATCCAACCGGGACCTCCTGGTTCATAGGTTGAAACTCAACCACTGAACTATACCAGCCAGGCAGTTTATGAAATTCTTAATAGGCAAAAAGAAGGAAAGAGAATACTTTCTTTTAGTTTCCTTTTTAAAAAGGCAGTCTCTATGTTTAGCAAATGCAGGCCAAGCATGCTCTCTCTCGTTCTTTCTGACATCACACAAAGTAAGAAATAGTGCCCTTCGAATGGGAGATTTCCTTTAATTACATCGGGAAGCGATAGTGGTCGGTATTGCATGTTTAATGTAATGTTCTGCGTGCCCTTTCTTCCTTCTTTCTCCCCGCCACCCACCACCCCTTCACAGCTACCTCATCTTGAGCAGAAATAAAAAGGCTCAGGGCTTGTCAGCATCAGTTTATAGATAGCTGTTTAAAAATAATGAGATATTGGCTATTGTAAGGCTCAGGGCCGTCTTGCCAGACTCATTTATTTCCATTCACCTTTTGTCAGAATCACAGACAGAAGACATTCAATTAAAACATGTCACCTGTTGCAATGACCTAATTTGTACTCCTATGTGTCATAGATTAGGGCTCTGTGCTTCTGAGAAAGTGCTTTTACCCCCCCCCACCCCCGCCATGCAACAGTGTGCCCCCTGCAAAACACTTTGTCTGTGGTTATTTCAAGTTTCTTTTTTTTTTAAAAAAAAAATTTATTGTTATCAGAGAGGAAAGGAGAGAGAGATAGAAACATTAATGATGAGAGAGAATCATTGATTGGCTGCCTCCTGCACAACCCCTGCTGAGGATCGAGCCCGCAACCTGGACATGTGCCCTAACTGGGAATTGAACCATGACCTGGTTCATAGGTCCACGCTCAACCACTGAGCCATACCGGCTGACCTGATTACTTTTATTTAATAAAACTCTTGATTTAGTAGTCATTCACTTCATTATCTTTTTTTAAAAGTATTTTTACTTTAATGTGACTCTTTGCATCTTAAGTATTCAGGGGGAGGGAGTTGTCTTTGCAATTCATGTGTACAGCAAACCTTTGTTTGGGAACATTATCTAAGGCGTGTTTTTAATTTGGGAAAGTAGGCTAGGATATCCTGGGTAATTCTCCGCAGGGGAGGTCTTCTGCTGTTCTCTGAAATGCCTCAGACTTTGCACTGTTAAAAATGCGAACAATACTTTTGACTTTGGACTATATCATATAAAAATTTGCATTTGGGCATAAAATGCAGACTTAAAATTAGCTGACTTAGAAGCCCTGGTGCTGAACTGCTTTACGTCTCTTGGAGTTTATTTGCCTCCCAGCATATTTTTTTTCCCTCCTTGCCCTAGTCTTGCGTTCCCAATTTTGTAAATTCTGACAGTGTGTGAGATTTGCAATTCCCTTGTGGCCACGTGGGCTCACGCAGTATTTGAGAGAGGCAGCAATGTGGGAGGAAATGCTCTACTTGTAGGCAATGCCAACTATTAAAATCTTTTAGTAAAAAAAAAAAAAAAATAGATAAGGGCAGTCTCCACCTGAATGGAAAATCCAGATGCTTTAATTAACTTCAAATCCTGTCAAATATTGGATACAGTGGGTATCTTATTTCCTCAGAGAAAACTTATTTTTAAACTTTTTCCAAACTGGCTTACCAGTTACATCGAAACAGAAACTGTTTGTGTTTAAGATTGTAAAGATGTGAAAAGATGTGAAATTGCCCTTTCATGGAAATATTTGGATTAGACTGGTGTTTGTTTAGAGCAAATCTGGATTTCTCAGGTCCTGATTGCAAATATTGTTATTTTGTTTGTTTATTTGTTTCTGCTAAAATAGTTTGAGGCTTTTACAGTGTACCAGGTTAATTGGATAATTATCAGTTCTCTTCTCAAATTTGTATTGTGTGCTTAAAGCAAACTCGGGGAAAACATTCTTCTTTTTGATGGAATTTGGGTTCATTTCTCTGTCTATTATAAAGTAATCACATACATAAATGATATTATTAGTGACAGGAGTGAACAGTAAATAGAATGGGATACCAAATAAATCTATAAATCACTTAGGCATCATAGAGTATCATTATTTGGCTTGTGTTTTTTGAATTATCTTACCACTCCATACCCCAAAATCTCTTTATGTACAGAACTGAGACAGGGTAGACTGTCAAACTCCATGGGGATGGATTTTCAATAAGTAAGCATGATGTAAAATATCTTTAAATAAGATAATATAGCAATATTTCAACAAAATTATGAGATAGTGACAACTTTATTTTCCTTGGCATTTTAACGTTTATAAAATATTTTAGTATTACATTTGTATAATATCCAATTGCATTAATATATTAATATGCCATTAGATCATCACAGCAAAACTTTGGAGAGGATATTGTCTTTCCATCCATTTTATATGTGGAAAAGGAAATAAGTTAAGGAACTCATTGAAGTTTTTTAAAATATTTATTTGTCTAAACCTGCTTCACTGCTCTTGAAGTTGTCTACTGATTTGAGTTAAATTCTGCTTTGATGTTTCAATATGACATTTCAGGTTTTGTTGAGAAACCAGTGTATGTTTGTGTGTTTCACTAAAAGATCATCAACTCTTAAAGTATTATTTATTATTAAGGCAAGATAAAAAATATGTTTCTTTATTGTATGGATCACTAATAAGCCTTACTTTTTGTGTATATATACTGACCTTGGGGATTCACCTAGAGATATATCAGCCTTTCCCAAGCTGTTTCCTGCACCTCAGGTAACCCACAACTCACATGTCACATGGTATTAATAATATTTCCCAAACTGGATCCTTAGTTAGATTGGTTTGCAAAAGCACTGTCTGGGCCATATCTCCCTCTGAGAGTTCTGCAGAGGCTATTTGCTTATTAAAGGCTCTGAGATGCCCTTCAGTAAAATAATAAAACTGATGATGCTATTAAACCAAATCTATTTTGTACACAGTTTGAAAAATGCCAAAATATGGGTTATGCATTGCTTGGTTGAATTTATTAATGGAGAATGTTACATGGTTTCATCAATTAAGATACAATCTACTACCAAAAAAATGAGTCTCTCTCCTCATTCTTACTCCCAAGTAACCTTGTTTTGACAATGGTTTTATAAGGTCCTGTTCTAAACTTTACAGTCACTGTGGAAACCAGGTTGTTAATGATAAGCTCTTCCCCACCACTCCCTCATATAAACAAAACATTATTTTTCATCCTTTGCCTTTCCTTTCCTTTTTGCTCTTGATCTCTTAAACTCACAGCCAGCAAAACTCCCTGCATCTTGACGCCACCCATCACTCTTTGGGAAAAGGTTTTACAAAAGCCCATCTACTTTTGCCTGCTTCCTAACTTCCCCTCCAGCTCTGCCCTGTGAACTTACCCCTTCTTTGACACCCTAGTGAGTATCCTTTCAGGAAGCTCCTCTTTCCATCCTGTTCGTTCAGTCAAAACCAACTCCCAGCTTTCTCGCATTTGAAGGAAAATACAAATGTGTCCCAAAATGTAGCTAACATTCTCCTTCTGAGACATGTTAATATGGGACAATCCTTGCATCTCATCTCCATGGCATGTAGGTACTTTCAATGCAATTCAACTCTACAGGGTCTTATGGTAACCCCTGGGTTGGGTAGCTGGCCGACTGGTCTACCTGATCCTACATATAGAGCTTTCAGGGGTAACTGATATAGAGGATACAAATGGCCATTGTCTTTAATTTGAGAAACAGTTTCTTTGTATTAATTCACATGAAATGTGCCTTTTCTTTGACGTGTACATGTCACTTTGACGGCCTTACGTAAAATGTCTCTCTGGTTTATTATCCTCTCCTAGATTTGGTTTCCAATCCCTACGATCTTCGTGTAGCCACCACTTCTTTGTACATCCCTCTCATACTCCTTGACCATTCTGCATGGACTGTCCATTTCCCTAGCACCCATGGGTGATTCTCTGTATGCATTGAATTGGTTTTTGAAGAGATCTACCTCCATGCTAAACATGTGACTGTCTTTGCCCACAGGAGTGCGTCTTGACAGAGTACGTGGAGGCCGGCAGAAGTACAAGCGCAGAATAGATGCGGAGAACAGCCCCTACCTGAACCCCCAGCTGGTTCAGCCAGCCAAAAAGCCATGTAAGTACAGCAGACATGTCTGGCTGCCCAGCACTCAGAATCCCCCCCTCCACTCCCCCGCCTCCTGTTGGCTCCCTGTATCACTTTGGCATGCCCATCCCTACCGACCCCAAGGAGGCTTGTCACTGTTGGGGGGCCATGGCTCCAATCCCAAGGATTGCCTGTGAGGGGCAACAGCCACTCACCTAATGATCTTTTCCTTTCCTATGGTTTTTCCTCCCTCCGCCCTGTATTCGCCTAGTCATTTTGTGGAAGCAGAAGCACATTAAGGCATTGCTTATATAGTGCGGATTTTACATTGACTGGTTCCTTTTATTTTCAGAGGCACATCAGATGGATCATACTGCGATCATTAGTTCATTGGAGCTGTTAGTTTCAGATTTCACAAGAAAGTGATTTTTTGTAGTTGTCGCTAACTAAATGAGTTTGACTGCTCAACCTCCCCATGAAAATACATTAGGAGCCTCATTAATTTGGAGCTAGAGAAGGTTAACACACTAGCTAGCAATAGATTAAAACAAGAATGGGCCCTGCTAATAACAAGCATAGGTTGATGGTTCCGTCTCAGGTGTCCGTATGGGCATCATGAATTGTTTTTTAAGAGCCCGTGGCTTCCTAATGCCAGGTTGCCACTGGAAGGGGCGATGGTACGGTGCTAAAATGCAAGCCCCATTCTCTTTGCCATTAAGTAAAAGAGCTAGAATATAGATCGAGGCAATAACTGTATCCCATTTTCTGAAAAATCAGTTCACAGCTGCTCTGCAACAGCCCTAGCATTTTAGGGGGTTTATGCAAAGAGTTCATATCAGGCACTGAGAAGACTCTTGGTGGAGACGGTGCTGGCATTCAGCTGTCTTTGTCTCAGGAGACACGCTCAGCACGCACTCACATTGATAGCAGTTCCAGAAAAGACACCGGTATTTTGTTACCTGCTTTCAAAGGAAGAGAAAAAAGCGTCTGCTTCTAATTCAGACTCTCCAGGAGGGGTCGCTGCTGCGCACCGTACAGTGAGCATATGGGGATGGGTTAAATAAATAAAACAGACCCTGAACTGTAAACGAAAGGACATTTCAACGATGTCAAAGGGAACACAACCAGTTTTACATAAAATTAAAGCTTAAGTGAACATATGGCATAGTTTCCCTTTGCCTTTCCAAAAAACATTATGTTGATTATACCTTCAATTGTCCAATCTGGCATCTTCTCCACAGCCTGCATAAGCTCCTTGGCATCCTGCAAATACAATCCCGGACTGCATTAAGCAGATTTTGCACATTATAATAAAAAAAAAACTTTCTGATAATACAATAAAGTGCAATAAACACTAATGCTTAATTTCATTAGAGGTTTAGTTTGCCTGGATTCGGTAATACACAGAGTGCCCATTTCTCATTCATTTTATGCAAACATTGACCAAAACCATTGATAAGTTCCTCTCCGGAGAGAAAAATGCACACCGGCCTATGATAAAGGAACGTCTATGATTTGGGGGTAAACCTGAGGAACTGGGAAGTGGCATGTCAAGTACCTTTAAGGAGATTACAGCAATTTCACTGAGCTGCATTTGTCTGAGATAAAGAGGGTTCCTAATAAATCATTACTCATTATCTCAAGGCCTCTGTGCTAATTTTCCTGAGTCCATCCAATTAGTGTGTTTTGGTAACAAACATTTATAAAACTTAATTTTCAGATCCTGTCGGGTAAGTGTCAGGAGACGGTGCATGGGCCGTCGGCGGAGAGTGGCTGGGGAGATTTCTGGAACCTGACTGATTCGGGGAGCGCAAAAGCTCCAGAGTGGAAATTGGGTTCTATTGATTCTAATTAGGGAAACATTAAATAAGATTTACCTAGAAGCAGTGCTGCGGGCTATTCCGTCTTCGGAATGATGGGCGTTTCCAAGCTTCCACCCCATTTCTCTGACCCCAAGTCCAGTGCCCCTTAGCTTGGCGGAAACAGGCAGCATGTTTCCTGTAATAAATAAGAACTGGAGTTTCTGGTTTTCCTTCGGGTCCGCGTCTGTGCCTTTTATCACTGCATTTTCCTCTAGTCTGGGAATCCAGTGGTTGCGGAAGGTTTTGTTGATTGTCAGAGCAAGGGAAGTGGAGACTGTTGTTTCTTAAGCACATATGGGAAGCCAGTGCCATTCTCTGCGGATCCTACAAAGTAAAAAAAAAAAAAAAAAGAATATTTAATTTTAATATTTACCAGAAACCATGGCATTTTGGGATATTTTCTCCTAAATCTGCAGTTTCATGATAATTGAATATTATTGCCAATGAATGGTTATCTGTTGATGATTGGCAATATATGTAATTCCCATGGGAGCTGTAATAACATTTTAAGATATGTCAGGAAAAAATGCTTTATAGTTTGGATGCATCTTCTTGTTGTCATGTTAAAGGCGATTCAAAGAATGTTATGTTTTCAATTCAAATGTTTAGGAAGCCTTTCAATTTGGGTTAAAAACTTATAGTGAAAGGAAAATGATATAGTAAACAGAGAGGAAATTAGCTTTGCTCACAAAAATCCCATTTAATGCCCCATTTTTTTTCCAGAGTCATATAGTACATAGAACATGGGAATATTTATTCTTACCCATTTCCATCTCCCCACTTAGCAGAAAGTACAAAAATCTAAAGCTACACACAGACATGGAAAATGGGGCCACGCAGAAAAACCATTCCGTCCGGGAGCCTTCACAGCCCCCTCCATAAACCCGCACATGCCCCCGGGCAGTAAAACACATTTGATGTGATGCTTTTCATTTGTCTCCAGTGTTTATTTTATGAAGGTTTTTAAAAACATAAATCATAAATTTCAGACAGATAAATCTGAACCAGAAAATGAACTACAGACAACAGATGAAAATAGAGGCTTGAAGAATTAGACACTCCATGGAGAACACATTGTACCATTTAAATAGAACTATTTTTCTGGAAACTGATATTGTCTGTATTGAGGAGATTGACTAGTATGCAGGGAGACGGGGAAGGAAAAAAGTTCCTCTTTAGTGCATCCCACAAAGAGAGAGTTATTGAGTCCCTAATTCACCCAAGCAGGAGGACTCTGAACATTGGTCTACTTTAAAGGAATTAAGACAATTAAGGACTTTCATGCCCATGATGACTATGGGCATTAGTAGTTCTTTGCCTTCCACATTATATTCCAGATTTCAGTGCTTGACTGTGTTTTTATCTTAAAGTTGTTGTCTATGACTTAATCCGCTTCCCCAAATCCCACTTACGACTCAATGCGTGAAACCAGAGAGCCTCTAACTTCCCTTATCCATTGGCTACAAATGTTTTCATTCCAGGAGAGAGGCTGCAGTCCCACCGAGGCAGGTAGAGCAAGACAGGAGCGCACCTGTTGGGACTGCAGCTGCTCTGTCTCGCTCTGTGTGTTCCCGGAAGCTGGTTAATGTGCCTATAGGGAACCCTAAGCAGAATATGCTGGGTTTCTTGTAGGTGATTTGATTTCCTGTTCAAAACCCAACGTGCTCTGAGGTTTGTAAAAGAAGGATGATGCTACTAGTGATCTCGCAGTGCTCTGGTCTGATCCTGCAGATAACAAGATTGTGTCCCATTTGTTGGTGGCCGAACCGGAGAAGATCTATGCCATGCCTGACCCCACCGTCCCCGACAGCGACATCAAAGCCCTCACCACGCTGTGCGACTTGGCCGACCGAGAGCTGGTGGTGATTATTGGATGGGCCAAGCATATTCCAGGTACCTTCTCTGAAAACAAATTTTTTTTAAAAAGAAAAGAAAAACATTGTAGTGCATTCTCTAGGTCAGTGGTTCTCAACCTTCCTAATGCCGCGACCCTTTAATATAGTTCCTCATGTTGTGGGGACCCCCAACCATAAAATCATTTTCGTTGCTACTTCATAACTGTAATGTTGCTACTGTCATGAATCATCATGTAAATATCTGATATGCAGGATGTATTTTCATTGTTACAAATTGAACATAATGAAAGCATAGTGATTAATCACAAAAACAATATGTATTTCATACATGGTCAAGGGAATTCAAGAAATGACTCAACCCTGAACTGGTCACTGTGGGATAGTGGATATTTTTAATTTGTTAAATTATGAAACATGTTTAGTACTATGTTTGATGTACAAAATGCTATTCTACATATTTTTTTATCAATAGACTAGAGGCTTGGTGAACAAAATTCATGTGCTTGGTGGGCGGGGGGAGGGTCCCTCAGCCCCG